TGACATCCTTGCTCTTTAGAACTTGTAGAGGTCTTTGACAGCAGATTTTCCTAAATGCAACATGCCTTTAGACCTCTTCACTGTTGCTACCATGGGTGTGGTTTGCGGATCCAAGTAAACTAAACCATTGACAACTTCAGTCTCTCTCCATCTATCATGATCTATTGGCCCAAGGGCTTGTCCAAGTCTAGGCCCTTGCGCCCAGCACAGAACCTGGCACACAGCAGGTGTTAAATATTTGCTGAATTCAATCATTCATAAAATGAACATTTACCTGTTAACTTGTTGTTGTTGTTAGGTGCCATGGAGGCCACTGCAACTCAGGGAGGCCCTGTGAACAACAGGTCTGTCTTCTTGATGTTGAGATGTAGCCCACAGTGACGGCTGTGGTCTCATAGTTAGGAACACACAGTAGGAACTTAATAGTTTTGAACATGTGAATAAGAGTAACTATCAGGGACCTCTCCAGAGTACTGAAGAGCAACGACGTCAGGCTGGAGACTAAGGTGCACCTGATCAGGGCTATAGTCTTTGCAATTGTATGTTGTGCATAGAGAGCTGGATAGTGACTAAGGATGATAGAGAATGATGCCTTTGAGCTGTGGTGCTGGAGAAGAGTGTTGAATATACTATGGACTACCAGGAGAATAAACAGGTTTGTCCTGAAGAAGATGAAGCCGGAATGCTCCTTGGAGTCAAGGATTCTGAAGCTTTGTCTGACATACTTTGGGCATGTTGCAAGGAGGGACCAGTCCTTGGAGAGGGACGTCATGTTTGGGAGAGTGGAGGGATGGCGCAGGAAAGGAAGACCCTAGATGAGATGGATCGATTCAGTGATCGGGGTAGTGGGAGTAGGTGTGTCGGAGACAGTGAGGTTGGCACAGGATAGAGCAGGGTTTAGGGCTCTTGCACATCAGGTCGTTATGAGTCTCAGGCGACTCAACGGCACATAACAACAACAACTACAACATCAAAAGTAGTGCAGACTCACCCAATATTCTCACCATTTGATGAAAGAACTTATTGGTGAATAATCGGAAGGTGTAAAAAATAAAACGGAGGAAGCGCAACCAGGGTGGTTCTTAGAGGCAAGGATGACGAAACTTGGTCTCCCAGACTATGGACATGTCAGGGGAAAGGATGTCATGCTGGGAAAGGTGGCGGGTGAATGTCAGAGAGAGAGAGCAAGCTGACCTCCATCAAGATGGACTGACACTGGACTGACACAGTAGTTACAGCCACGGGCTCGCGCCCATCAGAGATCGGGAGGATGGCGCAGGATAGGTCAAGGGTCAGACCTGTTGTTCACAGGGCCTCCCTGAGTTGCAGTGGCCTCCATGGCACCTAACAACAACAACAAATTAACTGGTAAATGTTCATTTTATGAATGATCGAATTCAGCAAATGTTTAACACCTGCTGTGTGTCAGGTTCTGTGCTGGGCGCAAGGGCCTAGACTTGGACAGGGCTAAGTCGCGGCCCGATTGGGGTTTCCCAGCCTGCGGAGGATGAATGAATGAACGGAGGGAGGGACAGATGGCAGGCCGGGCGCGTGCCTCCGCCCACCCGCATTCCCAGGCACAAAAGGAAAGCGAGGTGGGAAGCCCCGCCCCCGCCGCCGCCTCTTGCGCCGACCGCGCTGCTCACCTGCCGGCCTCCCCTTTAAGAGCGCTCACCTGGGCGCTCACCTGGGCGCGGGTGCTTCCGCAGGAAGAAGGAAGAGGAGCTGCCCAGGGCTCCCCGTGATCCCTCTCCGCCTCCTAGACCCGCCCGCCGCCACCATGTCCGCCTCGGCCGTCTTCATTCTCGACGTCAAGGGCAAGGTGAGGCCAAGCGCAGGTGCAGGGGCTCAGACAGGTGAGGCGGCGCTCGCTCCCGAGACCCAGGGCGGCCCCTCTACGCAAGTCTGGGAGACTCCAGAAAGCTCCGGGGGGCGTGGAAACCTACGCCCCACCCCCTCCACCCAACTTTAATCCCCTGGACTCTGGGTCGAATCCCTCCTCCCCCACCTGCTGGCCTTGTGCCTGGAACCCACCGGCTTTGCCTCTCTGGCCTCGATTTCTCCGTCGGTGAAATGGAGCTGACGGAGGTCCCACCCTTTCAGATGCATCAGACTCGGGGCGTGTTGAGTGCTTAGGACAAAACCCCGGGGCAAACAGGTGTTCAGTAATGAAATTTGTATTTGCATCCCTGCCATCTCCACATTAGTAATACTGGAGAACACAGAGGGACACACACCCCCAATCTGGGTGCACATGTGCTTTCGAACTCATGGAGACGCTCTGGGACTAGGTAGAAGTACCCAGAGGGTTTCTGGAACATCTTCACAGAAGCAGAGCTGCTGGTGGGTTCAGACTTACCTGGTCTTGCAGTTTGCAGCATGGTACTTAACTCCTGTGCCACCAGGGCACCCAGAGCAGACAGCAGACCATGAAAACCAAATCCCTCCCTTCAACTGGGTGCTCTGGTGGCCCGCTGTTGAGGAATTGCGCTGCCAACCCAAAGGTACATGGTTCAAATCCACCTGCTGCTCTGCAGGAGTAAGATAAGCAGTCTCCTCTCTTGCTAGATTTACCACCTCTGAAAATGCGCTGGAGGCTCAGCTATTGTTTGGTTCCACCTCAGAGGCACATGACAAAAACCACCGCCACTGAGTCCATTTCAACTCCCAGCGGCCGTGCAGGCCAGGGCCGTTCCTCGGGCTGTAATCTGTACAGAGAGAGAGAGACTCCTGCTGGTTGTAGAGAGTAACCTTTGGGGCTGCTCTAACCAAAAGGTCAGCAGTTTGAATCCACTGGCCGCTCTGCCGGAAGAAGTTTGTGCCGTCTCCTTCCATGAACCCAGTGGAGAGTGGCAGTGACTTGGAAGCTGGGACGGGTTTGGTTTTTTTTGTTTAATCTTTACAGAAGCAGACTGCCTTATCTCGCCACAGCATAGTAGCTGTTGGGTTCCAACTGCCAATGTTTCAGTTAGCGGCTGGATGTGGCAGCAGGGACAGGAAGCCCTAATTGCCCCTCCAGTCCTCCTTGTCTCTTCCTGAAACCTTTCCTATCTGTCTTGTCAAAGACCTGACCAGAGCCTCTCTGGACCTGAGGCCCCTCCTGGTGTCCCAGGGTGGAGGGTGCCTGGATCCTGACCATGACCCTGACCAGGTCCTCTCCCTCACCACCCTCCCCAGCCCCTCATCAGCCGAAACTACAAAGGCGATGTGGCCATGAGCGAGATCGAGTACTTCATGCCCCTCCTCATGCAGCGGGAGGAGGAGGGCGCCCTGTCCCCGCTGCTCAGCCATGGCCGCGTCCACTTCCTGTGGATCAAGCATAGCAACCTCTACTGTATCCTGCTGGTGGGGTCCCTGGGGGCCGGGGGTGGCAGCAGTGTAGGCCCAGAGCAGGTGCATGGGCCTGTGGGCAGAGAGAGGGTGATGGCCGTGGTGGGGAGGGGTGGGGGGGGGTCTGTGCTCCACCTCGTCCTCCTCAGAGGCACCGCCTCCTTAACCTCACTGTCCACAGTGGTGGCCACCACGCTGAAGAACTCCAATGCATCTCTGGTTTACTCCTTCCTCTACAAGACCGTGGAGGTAGGTGATGGTCTCCCATTGGCTGGTTCATCTGTCTGTCTGTCTGTGTGTCCTACCCACATCTTTCAGGATCTCAGTCTCCAGGGAAGCCTTCCCTGACCTCCCAGGGATACCAGCTGCCTGTGCTTCAAAGCCCCGTCATTCGACTTTTTCCTGTGCTATCTAAGGGATGTCTCTCCCACTAGTGTGGGGACCATGAGGACTGGCTTCCCACCCCAGGCCCTACTTCCCTGCTGTGTGGCCTTGACCAAGTCACTTCTCTCAGAGCTTCTGAAATGGGGGGATTCTACCTCAGGGCTTTTGTCCGTGAAAGCAATGCCTGTTGACTGCCTAGAACAGCGCTTGACAGACAGTAAGTGCCCAAGAAACACTCACTATCATTGTTAGCTTTCTCACTAATGGGATAAGACCCCTGCAATAAGAATAATTCATGGGACATTTACTCTCTGTGCCATTCTCAGTGACTGAAGAGCAGCTTGGGGAATATTTTTTTTCAGTCAGCAGATGTTTATCGATTTGCTTCCTCTCTGCCAGGGAAAGGGGACACAGTCATGGATAAGACAGGCCTGGCCGCTTTTGGCCTTGTGAAACTCATCAAGGGAATGAGATAATCCTGCAGAGTAAAAGGCCCAGAAGGAGCATTGCGAGAACCAGTGATGGGGGTATTAGTCTCTCCATGTCACTCATGGGGGGCTACACATTACAAACGAAGGCCGTGAGGGGAGCTGGGGAAAGAGGATCCCAGCAGAGGGCATGGCCAGTGCAAAGGTCCTGAGGTGGAAAGAGAAAGAAGGGTGGAGTGAGATGTTGTTTTTATGTGCCATCGAGTGGTTTGCAACTCATAGCGACCATATGTACAACAGCCCTAAACCATGCTCT